AAAATTGGGCAGTTTCAAATTATATGCTATTTTGTGTCACTAACCAGCGGTGATGATGATAACAAACAGAAAAAGTTTTTTAACGCTCATATTTGCTTGTGAATGTGGCCAAACGTTAATATAATATATCTTCCAGAAGTAAACAGATGTTTCAACCAAATGAATCGAGTCTATTTCGATTCTCTTGTCCTATATGTACATATTTATTTCGTGAAGAAAAAAATGGATTTTTTTCTACCAATAATAATCTTAAGGGTATGGGGTGTTGATGTGCATGTGCATGTGTGTCACGACTACGCCCATAACGACACAAACCGACACCACCATCATTTGCTGTAAACTACATAAAATTGAAAATTTGTACATGAAAGCTTAGTCAAATATCTTCAAATAGGTTCTCTTCTTATTGTAATTTAGTATAGAGAAAAACAAGAAAAGTGATCAAATTCCACAGCGAATGGCATAATTATGACAGAAAGAAAAAAAAAAAGAGACGAAACTAAAACAAGGTCGAACGAAAAAACATCGAAATTGTTTTTAATTCAGCTTCAGTGCCATTTTCATGAGTATCGTGTGAATAATGTACAGTAGCACCAATCGGCTACGTTTACATATGAATAGTTTGTGTTAAAGCAGTCATAATAGCACTTTTGACATATTTACTTTGGATATTTTTTCTTTCTGCCAATTTTATTGATACTCTCCAAATCAATGTTGATCCAAATTTCATAACGATTACTAGTATTCATAAAGGTAGTGTAGTAGACCTTTTTAATCATCAGATATGAAGAGAAAGAACTACTTTTCTATGAGACTCTATAATTTTAAATATTGTCTCTCAGCAAATTTAGATATGATAGCAGTAGACAATTTTTAAAGACGTCTTTTACTTCATTTCCTTAAAATAGTAATTTCGTTTGATTCCTACCTAAAACTAATAACCAAATGATTACTGTTTCTACCCACTAATTCATATTCTAAATGCATTTGATTATTCATAAATTGTTCTTCAAGATGTTGAAGATGTCCCAAAACTTCCGTGTCGTGCATTCTATTTCCTTCTATTTTAATGCAGTGATAGAAAACCAATAGTTGTTATAATTCGACGCAAAACGAAAAAGATTTTTGAATAAACTTAGACTAGCGTACGCTAGTATTGAACAGTAATTTCTTATGAAACAGAGTACTCATAAGACCAGAAAAAACGGTTTGCACTATACAGGAAATTCTTTTTCAGTTATCCCTAATTACATATTAAACTAGCAAGCGTTAGTGTGTGATTTAGACATTTCACATTGACGACAATGTGTTTTCAGTTCGTTATTTACCGTTAGAATCTTTGTTAGTTGTCGAATATTGTCCGGTAGGATGCTCGAATCTCCCATTCGCTTGTTTCTTATATCGCCATTTTGTATAGCTGATTAGTCTTGAGGGATGGAACTGAGAAAACGGAGTAGACATAACCAGCGTTAGCATATTCTCGGCAAGTCCAGCAATAATTGGATATTAGTCATGTTGGGCACCTTCGCTTATATTTTACTTGCCTGAAATGCAGATGTTAGAAAACAAAGTAACCACTGCCCAGTAATTGATGCATTTTTCAATACATATACTTTCAATGAATATTGACTGCACCCACTTTAGTTAGAGCACTTCATTTCTCGTTAAACAGGAGGGATAAAACAATCATTATGCTCTTAGTAATAACCTAGGATCCTGTTGCACTAAGGTGAAGAAAATAAAAATTCAGATAATGTTGTCCTCTTAATTTTATGCTCTATAGACTGAGATATAACACGCAAAACTTTGCTAATTAATAGGTCAACCATGATCGAAAGGTTTCTACTGAGAGCATGGTAAACATTTTGCCTTGATATTCACCGTAAAAGGAAGTCCCATAAATGGAATGGAGTGAGTCGATATTGATTCCAAAAATAGGGATTTTGTAGAGAACGAGGTTCTCTATAATTAGACATGGCAAACTTTTGATACGGTATTGATGATATTGGTATTGGTATTAGCGATATTAGTATTGAGGTTGACGGTGTTAGCATTGGTATGAAGACACATCTTAAGAAGAATCATTCTCTGAAAGAATTCATTTCTATTCAAAAACACTCCCACGGATAAGCAAGAAATTAGATCGATTTCTCTTGATCCAGTTTTCATCTCTCCGCATCGATTGAGAAATAGAGGCTGTGTGTGTATGAGTGAAAGTGAGAGAGATGTTATATAGGACATGTTTGTATGGTGGGAAACCAGAGCATTTCTCCTAGTCTTTATAAGACTAAGTAATTTGTTGTAGTGTGCTTACAATTTCTCACGTTTTTTTGGGGATATTTTACAGCTCTCTTTAATCTGAACTAATTCAGATGAAAGAAAATCGCTAAGACGACTAGTTCGGATCAAAATTTTCAATCTGAACTTAGATAGTTTCAAACTAAACTCTCTATTCTAACTGATGGTATCTCATAATCATTTTTATTTAGGTTCATTTGGCAAAAGACAAAAACATATTAGATCATAAATTCGGTTTTAATCAAAAGAACAGGTAGAGAGAAGTTTTTTTTTGCATGCAAACATGGCTTTCGTTTTTATCGCTTCAATTCATCCACTAGAAATGAAACATCCGGTTCTTTCACTCTCATTGTTTTTGTTAGTAGCAGTCAATATTAATACTATTATTTCGGCGAATTCAGGTATAGTGATCGTCTAAGATGAGATCCATTTGACTTTGTAATCTGTAGTGCACAAGTACAAATGGAAACATTCTATCAATCGTAATGTTTTCCGCAGTTTTCTTTCAGGCAAGTAGTCAATAATTCGGCTTCTAGATGTTTTGATCTTGTTACTAAAATGACCAGCTGAATAACACCAAAAATTGACTGCCTTGCAAATAGCAATAGAATAGAATTTTCTGAGGTAAAAATCTTGTTAAGCTAAACCGAATCGGGTAGAACTTTATCCATTGGTTTCAAGTTGTGGTACGCACCACAGTTGGTTATACAATTGAAAAGCGGTTGACACCTTGAGCATTACAGAAGAATTTCATTTCTTACTCACACGACAATTCATGATCAAGTTTTCTGTCAAGAAGCATAGTTTTAGGGAGTGTAACACTTGCAAGTACTGTGAGAGCACTATACTTTACATATCGAGCTGCTTATAGATGACATACAATCTTGCTTTCGTACTCAATATGCTTAAAACATATATCAGGTATTTTTGTGTGGGACTATATTTGAAAGGATGAAATTGTAAAACTATCCGGGACACTTCACACTTTTAAAATGAGTGTGAAAAATTATAATTTCGTGTTTAACCAGAAAGACAAAAAATTCCTGATTTTCTCAGAAATTTGCGACTGTTCATGAACTCTGTCTATGCAGGTTTCGTCAAGCGTAATATTGCTTGGAATGGAAATAACTGGGCTATGGGTTGTGATTTTGCCGATAATGATATGAAAAGCGTCCAAGTCCGTGGTGAAGATTGTAGTGGAAGATGTGCTGAAACCGCTGGATGTACTCACTTTGTATGGACCAAGTGGAATGGTGGTACATGTTGGATGAAAAAAGGTTCTGTTTCCAAAAACGATGCTATTGCAACCAATGATCAAGACATGGTCTGTGGTGTGGTCTCCTCATCCAGGTAAAAGACCATGAAAAGCGTAGATAAAAGAAATATATGCTTGTTGTTATCAAAGCTGAACCTTTCTTTCGGACAGAAAGAATACTTCAAATTATGACCATACTACCAACGACAAAATGACTGCGAATCGTATTTTTGATATAAAATGTAGAACTTTTGTCTCTAAGACTTAAGTGTTTTGTCAAAAGATTCACTGTACAATTCTGTACAAAATCGTGTATTTGTTCAACGAATAATGTCTCTTTCATTCCTACAAAACAGCATAACGATCTCGAGCGATCTCGTATAATTTTCGACGTTTTCATTTTTTTCTGAATGTTTTTTATTCTATTTTTCTTCTTTCATTACAGTTCTCTGTTTCATGCTACGTTCTCAACTCATGCTTTGAATCGATTTGTTTTGAATGACGTTGTTTATAGCGAACTGAATCAAATCATGAGCTAGGAACGTGATATGACACAGAAAACAGTAATATAAGAAAAAGAAATAGCATAAAAAGCATTCAGAAAAAAAATAAAAACATCGAAAATTATACGAGATCGCTCGAGATAATTATGCTGTTTTGTAGGAATGAAAGAGATGTTATTCGTTGAACAAATACACGATTTTGTACAGAATTGCACAGTGAATCTTTTGAAAAAATACTTAAAGCTGAGAAACGAAATTTTTACATTTTATATCAAAAATACGATTCACAGTCGTTTTGTCGTTGATAGATAGATGAAGCTACTTTTTTATGAAACACGATCGGAAAGGAGTACTGAAGTATATAGGGTAGATATTTGTACCCCCGCCTCACACAGACTCTGACAGACGGTCGTGTGATCCGTCACACACCGTGACAGACGAATTTACTAATTAATTAAATAGTACGGTAATTACTTAATTAATAATTAATATTTCGTCAGAAAATCGGTGAAGATCTATCGTAGACCGTGAAAGACGGGCTCTAAAGGCATCGAAGACCGTAACACACTGGCTGCCTAGGCATCACGTACCGTGACAGACGAGCTCCAAAGGATCACAGTAGTGGTAGGTGGTTTCTAGAGACAACGCGAGCCATGGAAGACTTTATTAGTATAAGATTAATGACCGTATATGAGTAAGATCTCATTAGAATAGATGAAATACGTCTTCATTCCAGTTCCAGAAGACTAAGTAAAGAGTTGTGAACTGCTATATCACAACATAGATTGAATGAAACAATTTTTACCTGATTAGTAGCAACAGATACATCGTGTTTCACATTTTAATCTCACATGATTTGCTCTAACAGCTTTTTATTATGAGGCAGGAAATAACGATATGAATGGACATATGAAATAATTGCAACCTATGATGTTGGATTGACGAAATATTATGTAATGTATGTCGGAAAACAGCGATATTGACACATCCTGTTCTCACATTTTACTCATTAGGAGACTGATAATAATTTATCGAATTTGGCAACTGTTGCAGAAGTTTCAGGATTTTATTGTACATAGGTCTGAAGAAATTTTAGTTTTAGTAACTCTTTAATTTGAGCTACTCTTTCGTTATTTTCTAGTTTATATGGGTAGGAAAACTATAGAAGTCGATGGTCATGATGTTGAATGATGGTTTGGATGAAACAATGAAATAGAAAGCAGCTCGATAGGAGAGATACAGTGGAGTGCAAAAACAGTTGCCGTTAGTATTTGTTAAAGCTACCGCTCTGAACACGATGAATATTGAAAGTTGTTTTTTCGTAAATAGTTTACATACCACAGAATGTATAAATATATTAATCAATAACTAATCCTGGTTTCCCTCAGTTAACGAACAAGGAAATATCGTATTCTTATGATTTCACTCAAAATAGCTTAGACTTATTTTGCCTATGTCTATGAATTCTGTCAAAGCGTAAAAGATGCATTTGGAGTAAAATGAGAGTAGCCATGAACCTATTTCGGATGAAGACTTGGTAGCTGCAGTTTCAGCTCTATATGATGCTGACATGATTTCTAAGACAGAAAACAATTTATGCGCCACATTCTCACAATTGGATGAGAGCGTGGATGTGAACGTCTGTTAAATCATCACTCACACTGTCGCCAACACCCACACCTATCCCTCTCCAAATCTAACCAGTACTGTCTTGCTTTGATGACTCTGGATATATTGAAATCGGTAGAAATCATGTGTATCGTCTTCAAGATCAGTTTTTTCTCGAATTTTTCGAAGTATTTCTCTTGGCTAGACCTATTAGTGTCGCCAATGGATATAGCATTCAATTAATGAAATTATTTTTGCGTAGTAGTAACACAATCAACGTTTCGAATCGTGGTTCACAGCCTATTAGTGTCGGTTTCTTCAAGAATACTGGCGCGAATCAACCATCATTCGTAGCAGAAAAAGCGATAAATATATCACCGGGTGAAACACTGAGTGCTTCACTAGCGCATGGATGGGAAGGTCGTTTGCAGAAATTGACTGGAGCTCCACATGATCCAGCTACATGGGCTGAAATTCATTTCAATGCTTGGCAAGATATGACATTTTGCGATATAAGTCTGATACGAGGATTCAATGGAGCAATGGTTTTCTCGAGTGTAGATGGACGTCTTCGAACAGGATTTACGAATGATTTGAGACAGAGAGCGCCAAGTAAATACAAAGTCAAAGAATCAAAAGGCTATGATGTTCTTCAACCGACTGAACCCTACACAGGCGGTCGAAATGATGAATTGGTAGCATATTATCGCGAGAATGTATCAAAAGGAAATGCTTACATTATCCCAGATGATCACTCTAGTTCGCATGGTACCACAGACAAAAAGATTAATTTGGAAATCTACTAGATATAGACTGTATTATGATTTTTGTTATAAAACAAAACGTAATAAAGTCTGTAACAGTTCTTCTTCATGATAATGATTGCATGCGAAAATTTTTAGTTTCAAAGAAATATACGAGAGCTAAAGAAGGTAAGGATAGCAGTAGCATCCTTTGTTGGAATGCATGCAAGTGCAATTGGAACATTTCAATTTTAACATTTTTTCAGAAAATTTAGCGAGGGAGGACAGTTCTAGTTTGAGTTGTTGCCCATCTGTTGCGTTTCCTTCAATTGTGTGGACAACTGCTACCAGCCAATTTCCTCATTCTAATATTTGTTTTCTATATCGACTGATTTGGGATCAGGATTTTCCTTGCAGTTTACACTTTCCTATTATATATGAAAAAGGATTATGGCAGCGAATATATTAGTTCTTGAATGCTACCGAGTGTTTCAGAAAGAATGGAACATCTCAGTATGTTAATGATATCACTTTTAATATTCGTTTGTTCAGACTAAATTTTTCATCATAAGATTTGTCTTTCGATTATCTATGAAATGGTATCTTTTGCACAAATATACATGATATATATCATTTTCCACAATATCTTGGAATGTAACCAACCCCGATAAAAAAGATCGTAAAACAACTTTTGGCGGACGTTTTACATAGGATGTTTCAATTCTTTCTTACAAGTATGCTTCAATGTTGCATTTTTCCAATTGATAAAATAAGCAAATTCGTTCCGAATTGAATATTCTAATGGAGTGTAATCTCGGCTAATTGATAATCAATGATGGTGATCATTTTGTATTAACTGATGAATGTAAACACTTTGTATTTTTGTGCCAAGCTGCACAATATTTTGTAAAGACCTCATTACCATATTTTAGTGCTACTAAGAAGACATTTTGAATGCATTAAGGATAAAGTCACACTCCTTTATCGAATATGGTCACTAAGGTCAAGGAAAAGAATTCACTACTATGGTGCCAAGCTCTTACATTCATTAGTTGATACAAATTGACAATCACGATTGATCATCAATCAGTCGAAATTACACTTCATTAAAATATTCAATTCGGATCGAATTTGTTTATTTTATCTATTGGAAAAATATAACATTGAAACATACTATGTAAAATGTCCACAAAAATTTGCTTTACAAAATTTTTTTATCTGGGTCTGTTTTTCTCAAGCATATCTTGGAAAATAATAGATGTCATTCAATTTTATGAAAAATTTAAGATTTTGTAGAGAATTAAAAGACGATTCTTTTGAAAAAAATCAAATCTGAACAACAAATATAAAGAGTAATATCGTTACAATATTTAGAGTCTCATTCTTTCTGAGCCACTTGTTATAATTAAGTCTCTTTTACTTAAAATGATATTTGTGTGTATACGTTATGTCTGCCATAAGAAAATATGATATTTATTTTTTCAGAGTATTCAAACCTACGAATTTCAGGATGCCAAAAGTCAAAATCAAACAAAACTTTATACAAGAATTCTTTAACGGTCTCGAGTAGACTTAGAAAGGAATGTGCCAGAGCAGAGACTGTGAGAATTAGTGTCGAAGTGTTATGGATTCCATTTTCATTATAATGTCTAAAATTCTGTGCCCATTATTTTATGTTTATCAGACCTATTATATTCACTGTAAAAATTTGACAGTATTGATGAGAATATGAAGTTCATTGTCATGAATTTTTGCGTACAGCTAAAGATGTTCTGAACAAGAGAATATAACGCCGCTTTGAATGATACTCAGATCGTTCACGAAATCAAACGATTGGGATTAACGGTCCTTAGAAGCGACGACGGCCGAATCTCATCTTTCTCTTAAAGTTCAATTAAGATGATCTCAATTAAAAGATCTAGTTTTCCTATAAAGTGATCGTTTCTGGGAATAGTACACCTAGTTTTCTTTTGTATGAAGATAAATATTCAATGAGAGTTTCAAAACTAGAGATCAGTCAACAATAACATATATAAAATGAATAGATCTAATTCAATTGAGGATCAAGTGAATCGTGACAACGAGAGTTATTTGTTCTTTTGTAAGTGCATACCATCACATTAATTCTAATATTTTCCTGCTTGAATACCACATAATCAGCTATATCGAATTCTTCCAGTAGTGGGTTAGCAACATCCGTGTCACGTTACTTGTGAATAGTTTCTGTGTTCTGTTCAATCATGAATTATCATTCGAATGATATTTAATGGTATTAGCTCTGCAGACTAACTATCGTCGACAAGTTGACATATACATTCAGAGTAAGAATAGCTCTACGAAACTTTGTTCTTCTTTTCATCGACAACGAGATACATTCAAACATAAAAACAAATCTGACCTTAGCAGAATGGCGTTTCTATTTGATGAATAGACTAGCAAACACAGCCATTGAATTATTTCTAAGAGAGGTTAAAGCAGAGGATGCGGAATACTATAGATCTCCAGAACAACTTGTTATTTTTTTGTAAATCCAAATGTGACATCAGTTGTTATCTGTATTGCAGAGCAAGTAAGCGAGGCATTGCATGGCCTATGGAAAATAGAGAGGACTCGCCCAATGTATTTTCCGGTGGAAAAATCTCGTGGATTTACAATTGGTCACCTTACAAGACAGACGTTACTGGAATGGAATTCGTTCCAATGTTATGGAGTACAAATAAAGGTCACGATGGGAATGTGTTCTTGAGCCAGGCGAAAAGTGCAAAGGTTGTACTCGGTTTCAATGAACCCGAGCGTGCTGATCAAGCAAGCATGGATCCGGCATGGGCAGCACGTGCTTGGATGCAATATATCGAACCTTTGAGAGCTCAAGGTACAAGACTCGGTTCCCCAGCGATCGCATCCACCGATGAAGGGTTAAATTGGATGCAACGATTTCTTAGTGAATTAGATAGAGTCGGCGGGCGAATTGACTTCCTTGCTTTGCACTGGTACGGTCGAGGCGCGAATAACTTCATCAATTGGATTACCAAGGCTCGTCAACGTTTTGGTGATAGATATCCTGTTTGGGTCACAGAATTTGCCTGTACATCTTGGAATCCGAGTCAACCAGTTTCTCAACAGGAAGTTAACGAATTTATGAGACAGAGTATCGCAACACTTGACTCATTAATTTGGGTAGAACGGTACGCATGGTTCGGTGCACAACGTCAACTAGATGCAGCACTTGGGTCGACCAATTGTTTGATTGCATCCAACGGACAGCTGTCTGAATTAGGCAAAACATATGTTTATGGCTTTTAAGACCATATCATAATAACAATTGTGAAAGAAAGGCGCTAAAAAATTTTCACATAGTTGTGGAATAAAAACCTTTTAAACTTAGTTGATGTCATTTACACTAGCAACTCACAAAATAGTAACGTAAACATCGAGACTCAAACAATATTGTTTTTGTAGTAGTGACTTTATGAAAGTGTTACCAGTATTGCTGCTTCTACATCCTTGCATCTGTGTATAAGTTATTCCATAGCATCTGCAGTACGTTATACATTAACATTCTTCAATAATACTGTCACATCATGTTGATGATTTTCAATCCACCCATTGTTAGTTTTTGATGAAAAGAGCACTGTGCAAACTATAAATTTCATACCAGATCAGGTTATTTTTCAGGACAAATCGGCAAAACAGGCAAAGCCCAAAAGCAAGTATCTCTAAAAGAGTTCTTCGAAGTTGCAAAAATCTATAATTGGAAAAAAGTTTTGGTTATATGGAGAAAGTTTTACTTCTAACCATGCCAAAATGTAGAGTGTCGAAAACCCTGTGGGTATCAGTTTTACTATAGAAGTTTAAATGCATTCTTGTCTCTTTAATGAGCGATTAAAAAAATGAATATTTCGTAGAAATTCACTTTTTTTCACAAGAATTGTCAGTGTGCGAAAATAACCAGCCATTGTCTTCAGAAGCCATGTATGAACATTACTCTTCTGAGCTATTTGTTCGAAAAATTTTAAATCTTAGTATCTCAACAAGAAAGTAGTTCAAAAAACCATTCTTCAGCATTGTTAAACTGTTGGATAATGAGAACAACCAGATTGTTGAGTTTTTTCTCAGGAAAAGCAATATTTCTGTATAAAAACCAATATTTCGATTTAAAAACCAAGAGTAACTTAACTTTTAATGCGCTATCGAGGAAGCCATTCATTATGCTACAAAAATCATTATTCAACATGCATTTCCTCCTCTCTTTTACTTAAAAAAACAATAAAAATAAAAATCAACGATAATAGATAGCGAAGTTGCAAGAACGTTTTAAGAATTATTTGGTTTTGAGCTTTTCCTACTTTTCGGATTCCTCCTTAGAAAATATGTCTGCTCTAAATTGGGTGTGGGTGTGGGTAAGCATTTTTGTATTGCCCGAACGCACACCAAAACTCTACATCCACACTCATATGCACACCCCACATCTATACGCACACCCACACCTATATTCATGTTCTCATATAATAATAATGAACTGCTCAAAAAATAATGAGTTTTTTCCAGATATTCTCAAGTCGAAATACGGGCTTGATCTTAGACAGTCAGACGATCAATTGGCTTGTTTCATCTACAACAAAATGCCCTGACACATGCTTCAAAACAATGAAAAAATCGTTGCGATATCTTTTGTTGTTTGAGAGTGATAAAGAATTTAAAATAGGGACCTACTTTTCAGACACCTTGTATGTTGCAAAGTGTTTGAAACCTATGTGTTTTTTTTACCGTGGTTGACTATCGCTGGAAGCCATCCATTAATATCTGGAAATGACTTGACCATTATCTATATGGTTGGCCTATCCATTTTAATGTGCACAGATGGTCCCTGATGTCCTCTTTCTATTGCTAAAAACCGGGAGGCCGTAGCTATTTTCGTTCTTGCGTTATTTGACTGACACTCATCTCTCTTCTTCTAACATTGCGATAAGAAATCATTTGTGTGATGGTGAGTGATCAACTTTTGAGCGACTATCACTGCTCCCTCCCTCCCCCAGTAAAATTTTCTTTTCGTTTTAACTTTTACTTATGCAAAATTTCGCGAGCTTTCCGAATATGTCATCAGATTTGTGGAATGCCATTACCGAGCAGAACTAGAGGCCAAATATTGTTCAAATTTTATGATGGCCAAAGTAGTCGTGTACATTTCAGCACTTGCTGGCGCACGACGTAGCAAAGCGTGCGAATGTTGTCATGGAGCCTCCGATGCAGTTTTCAATGCTCTATCGATTGATGGGTTTTGCACCAAAAACGGTTGAGAAATAACTGAAATAAATGGAAAATAACAAACGGGTCCGTTTTTGCCTATTTTGTCATAGACACCCATCGGCGCTCAAATGTTGTACATGATATCTCCGTTCATCTTTATTTTGAAGAGCTGATTTTAAGGCCCATGCCCAACTTTCCATGGCTTTCGAATGGTATATATAGGATCAAAATCAAAAACTTTTCGGTGGCTGACTACGGTGCTGGTCTCATGGATCCTTTCTTAATTCACACCCACACCCACACTCACATCTCACTCATGTGAATAGTGGTCAACTTTTCGGAACCGAAACCAAAAAGATACAAGCTTATTCATCCTTAATGTTGGTTAGCGTCCTTTATTGATGATTTCAAATTACAAGCATCTCTCTCTCTCGATCTAATAATCATCAGCATTGACATATTTGATTGTTGCATCCTTATTGCCGTGTTTTGCCTTGTGTGCATCGAATAGACGCGTCAGGGCATCCATATACTGTGTATGATATTTGTCGATAATTTCATTTGTTATTTCTTCTCGTGACAATTTGGGTAATTCAATGGGTTCACCAACATAGGTATCGATCGGTCGTCGGTTGGGCAAAAAGCCGAAAGCATATTGAAATATACCACGTCCTTTAAAGAATGGTATTGTATAACCTGTTTTCTTTTGTAACATTACTTGCAATTGTCGTAGTTTTGATCCACGTGGATTGGCTAGTTGTTCATAAAGATCATTTTCGCCAAACGAAAATACAGGCACAATACTGGCACCATGGGCGAGACCGATTTTAACGAAACCTTTACGATTTTTAAGTGTCAAGATGTATTCGGATGATGGTCGAGCGTCTAATATTTCTTTGACACCACCCAAGACTAACATCAAACTATTGCCATTGCCTTTTTCTAAAATATAATTGCATGATTCTTTCGATGCATCACATAGACCCAGTAGAGACAAATAGAAACCAAAGAATGGAATGCGAAAATTGGATTTCAATGTAAGCAAACGAAGATCAATACCAGGAAATTTCTCTTCAAAACCAGTAGCTTCTGTAGCAAAATTGCAAAAAGCACCGAGTGAAATGATGCCATGAGGATGATAGCCAAATATGTACGAACGATCAGCCGGTAAATCACATGTTTTATGCAATTGAATTGGAAAATAATCTAAAAATGCCCAAGAATAAAAAAGAATTCATTGTTAATCAGGAAGTTACAAATGAATTGTTCAGTTATCATTCGAACTATCATATTTTTGAGTGATTGATTTTAGTTGGAAAAGGAGATGTGATTCAATTCTAACATACTAGAATTTTTATCAAATATGCTACGCTGAAAAATGATTGTACTTTTTAATTATCCAAATAACAACAAATCAACTCACCAGCAAACCATTTCCACCAGACTAGTCGACGAAGCCATAGCTGCTTGAGACCACCTTGTCGTGGATATTTTCGAAAGAAAACCATCCATGTTAAATAGGCAATGAAACCGAAAAACAAATACCAATTCTTTGAGCGAAGTAAGAGCAATGATAAGTATAGACAAAACCATGGCATAAGAAACGACACGAGAATGGTCAGTGTTTGCCGACGACGATACATAGGTGTATTGAATGGAGCAAATGTACGATTGGTCGGAGATGATTGAGCTGTCATCGATTGAATGGCGAGCTTTTCTCTATCAGTCATGGTTTCTTCATGTTCGGACGTGGAAGCTGTCGAGGACTTGGGTGCATATAAGACTTTTTCTGTTGCCAATTCAGTAACTGACTGTTCGCCATAGATCTTAGTGTCTTCAGATTCCGGTTCGAAAGTCGTAGAGGACGTCGGTAAATGTAAGACTTCGTCTGACATTGTTATTTGCGTAGAATAAGATATAGTATGCAACGGCACACACGCCAATTTTCTACTTATCTTTCGTCAAGATGGCAGTCGAGAAAGAAAAGATAAAAGATAAAAAAACAACATTGTAATCTGCGATTTTGACTACTTGAGAAAAATGACCTTAAAGCACAGTGCAACGTTTCTTCTATTGTAAAGAAAGTTGTATTATAGAGGAACTCTATGTTTGGTTGATGGTGAAGTCATTGTCATGCAGAGTAGACTTTCGGACTATTTGAGAGTGTGTGGGTGTCTGATTGTCTCTTTATCGATATTCATGCCCATACTCTCACATCACACCCTTCTACACACACATACATATACATGTATCTATAGCGCACTGATTATCTGGTTGTGTGCTCATACTCTTGACACCAAGTCTATTGCGATGAAAATCCCAATCAAATCTCCTTTTGTAGTTTAGATTTCAAACCTCATTCATAAATACCAATCTACAAATTCAACGTAGAAATGCTGATTAAATGGCGATGAAATCGAATTCTCGGTCAGCTTCAATTCTAGTGAAGGCGCTCATTTTAGTAATTGACAGTGGGTGTGGGGTCTGGGTTAATAAAAGAAATACATCCACACCACATTCATACCACACCCACACTCACACCTATCTACCATTTAAAAACTCCATATCAATGAAGCTAGAATTCAAGGCATAGTGCAATGGGGATAGTTCAAAATCCTGTGATACATAACCCTACTAAAGAAGTAGTTTATAATACTATGTACAATGGCATTATGAGCGCTTCAAGCACTAATTTTCTCGATTATTACTATGTAATTGTTTTCTTTAGATTCTACATCATAAATGATTTGAGAATGTCGAAAAAAATAATACCACGTCTAATACACAATCATCGTCATTGATTCATTCAGTTCCATCATTGTCATCCATGTTGTCTTAGTCGAATATAAAAGTTTCTGTTGAAGATCATAATGAAATAAATGTAAAAAATTCCCCAAAACAATTGCAAACATCATCAACAGACCCGTTTCAATCAATAGCATCGATTTGAAAATCATCCGATGAAGAAAATAATAAAAATTTCTCGTATTTCAAAAGGTTAGTCAATATCAATAGAAAATTGATTCTTACCAGTTTTCTATTCTGTTTTATTTAGTTATTTACTCGCTTAAATGGTTTATTATCGTTAGTCTAAAAGCAAAATTTATCATCCTTTTCAAAAATTATTGAATCAACAATCTCCACAATAAAAACTCTACAATCAAATATGAATTTAGTCAATGATAGATCAATATTTTATGCAAACAACCAGATTACACTACTCAGAGTTCAATTGAATAAAAACTACAATGAAATATTTTCAAAACTGTGCAACAATAATAATAGTGGACAGTGTTAAAAAATCATATAAAGCCATGATAAGAGCCTTTCGAAATTTAATACGATCCCCTCATCAACATCAATTACAAGCTGATAAATATATTCTAATCAAAGAATCAAAGCGATTGTCAACTAATTCATCTGCAATTGCACAAAGACAATATTAACATCAAAACTCAGGAAAATTCATGGAAACAAAATCAAAACGTTATTTTATTAATAGTAATGATCAAACGTATCATACCCTTCAATTGAATATCAAACAATTTCTGAAAAATATCTAAACAAAAACTTTTTGAATCCAAATAAAATAAGATACTGTTTGATTTCTGTCTCATGAAAATATTTTGTTGTTATTTTTGTTCCGTTTTTGTTTTAAGAGAAAAAACTAAAGGTGAACACACAAAAAAAATTCTTTTTTGAATATTTCGATGTATTTGTTTATAGACTGTATTCACTTCAAGGATATTCTAGGAATCAGAAGAACTGTCTATAATCAAAACTTCAGATGAAAATCTCGCTTTTTTTCAGTCTATCAATACGCTATCATAAATCTGAAAGACAAAACTGAAAAATCAAATCTTTCAAAAAACAATTTGCAATGTTATTGTTTGAACAGAAAATTAATTCAATTCTATTTCATAAGCAACAAGTTCATGTCTTTGACAAAGTTTTCATTTATCTTGATTTAAAGAAAGAGAGAATATACAATGAATATTATCTTGAGATGATGATTTCGTATTATTATGATAAAAAAAAGAACAATGTACATAAATTTTTCGTCTGCATAGCTAGAATGCTTTCAACGAAACATATCATTTTCAGCCTTTTATTTATCACAATTATGAGCAATAATCATCATTTCTCAAATAGGAAAGAAAATTATTTTTTTATTGACATTTTTGAATAGCTTGATCTAATGCATTTTTAATCAATTCTAATGAAAATGAACCTTGAATTGGTTGAGCAATATAACTTAATTTATTCATATGATCAATAACATAAAATCGAATCGGCCATGGACTATAAACTTGACTAAATGGATTATTTTCTGATACTGAATCAATTAATAATAGACTAACTCGATATTCCGCTACTTTGATAAAATCATTTGCAATATGAATTCAATCATGATCAGTTTTTGGTTGATTATAACATATTCGACTACCCATTGGCCTATTTTATTTAGTGTTAAGATTACTTTAAGAAAAATATTTTCTTCATTAAGGTACCATTCATCCGCTACGTGAGCTTCTTCAATATAAACAGTAATCATATCAACTTGATCTTGATAACAATCCATTAGTTGATTAAGTTGTGGTACAAGACCACGAAATGGTGGTCATGTATATGAACCATCTATAATTAATAATGATCGATTTGAATGATAATAAGATAATAATGATTCAAATTCACCATTTATGTTTAATAATTGAATATCAATTGCTGAATCTCCAATGTGAAGATTCCCTTGTTTTGCGCGATTATGTCGAACATACAGAGATAGATTATGAAATTCGTTATTAGACCTAGGACAGTTCCATATCAGTTCCGCTCTTGAGAACTGTTCAAACAGTTCTTTGATAGGAACTGATCTGTGCTTACCAGTTCTTTGATCGGAACTGATCTGCTCAACCAGTTCTTTGATCGGAACTGATTTGTCCAACCAGTTTTTTGATAGGAACTGATCTGGGTGTGGGTGTTCATAAAGAAGAAACTCAACCTCAGATCCACACACATAGCCCACATCCACATCCATAGCCCACACCCACACCCACACCCCACGCCCACACCCACACCCCACACCCACACCCACCCACACCCACCTACATCCCACACACCCACACACCCACACCCTATTGACTCTCTCCTGCACCATTATCCGCATGCAGCGATGGTTATGATTCATCGGCGTCTCGACGAAGTGCTACTCTCGTTTTGCCATTTGATGGAGTGTATCAAGAACTTGTACTTGGACAAATCGGTCTCGGCAAGCACAAATGTATATGCGAAACGATTTATTCAACTGATCGATAAAATGATAGAATGCATTATGGAGTTTCACACTCGACCGCGACAACTAATCGACCAATCACACAAGAACGTTTGTCATTTGCTCTACGATGACTTGATGGAGAAACCGATCGATACAGTGCATCGAATCTATGATCACTTCGGTTTGTCTTGGTTGGAAGAATTCGAAGCGAAGATGTAAGGATGGCTTCAAGAGAATCCACAAGAAAAACAAGGTCGTCATACGTACAGTCTGGCCGAGGTGGGCCTCACGCGTGAAGATATCGAGATGCGTTACAATGACTATATAAAACTATTTCTTCCTCCATCGTCTCCACATAGTATCGACAAGGATCAACATTCTTTGAATAATAAAGAAGTTGTAACTGCTTAGTCGATTTTTCTTATTGTCACCGATAACACTGTTAGGACAATAGTGCTTTTTTAATGTTAACTTCTTCACTATCGGATTTTCTTGCATACTGTATATGAACGTAGAATAATTGCCCGAGTACCCGCGATTGCATTCTGTTATTACCCATGAATTGCAAGCTCCTCTAATAATGACGTTTAGTTATATAATTGGAACATGGTATGCTCCACTCTTCTCATGCTATACATCAGAATACTGGACATGGGTGTGTTGGCGTGGCGTGTGAGTGTGGAGTATGGGTGCGAGTGATGGTGTGAATGTGTGTGTGCACTTTTCTACTCTATGAACTCACACCTACACCCTGACCGCGTCTAAATAGATGTAGGAGATATTAGAACTGACTCTATATAGAACTTCTTGGTTTGAAAATGATTCTTCTTTTTTTCAAACCAAATTTTCGTGTTTACACAATTAGCATCGATCAATAGTTCCTGAATCGCTTAATTACGGTCTCGTTTTTATTGCAGATATTATTGATTTATGTATATAAATGATCATCAAGCTCAATGCTATAAATAGTGTATTTTATATCAGTAGAGAGAATTTTCTACTCTGCCTCAATTGCAATTCTAATGCTTTTCGTCCTGTGAATTCACCGAAATAGTTTTAGCATTTTACAATTTCTAAATCTCTTTGAATGAAACATGAAAGATTATTCTTTCCCACTCAAAAGAATAATGGAGAAATGGCCATTAAAATGCATTATTTTTCGTAACTGGACCATTTCGATCATTAAAATACACCATTTTTCTTGCAAAATTGCAAAAATGATCATTAAAATGCGTTTCGATTCGTAGGTGAATCATTTTGACCATTTTATGATCCTTGAGCCTATTTTCTTAGAGCTTTACGATCATTTAAATGCGTTTATCGTTTCTAAAAGTTCTATAATTTACTACTGCCCATTTCAAAATAAAAGGCGGGTGAGTATTTTTTGAATAACTTTTGATAGAAACAAGATAGAGAGCTGCAGTTTTCACCGTTGGAAAGAGGCCTATCCAGCACATCGATTCATATAAAATTGTTGAGATTTATTTCATAAATAAATAGTGATCTATGGTCATCTGGAAAGAGTAGACTATTGCTCTATGAAGATAGAACAAATTTTAAACTTTAGGGAATGGATTAGAATTGTCAGCTGACGAGCTACAAAACTATATATAAGGCTCGATTCAAAGCTTTACTGCTTTAGGAGTTCTAAGTATTATATTCGACAATTCTAGTCCACATTCCCAGCAATTTCTGTAAAAAAACCTCATTTTTTAAGTTTTTTTTCTCCCAGGTGATTCAATCCGACCTGTAGATCCTACCGGAAACTATCGGATCCGATGTCGGATCACACCGGAATTCGTCGGGTTCCCAACTAAATCCGATCGAAACCCAACCGTATTTCACAGGATTCCTAACTAACGGATTCCGGACCGGATTACGTCGGAAAGGATCCGATCGGATCCTGTCGGAACTGTTTGTCGGATAATGCCGTAACCACCAGGATCCTTTCACAGAGAAACGCCTGATAACGTAAGGCTCCGACAGAATACAGTCGGATTTCATCAGAAGTTGGCTGAATCCGTTTCGATTTCCCAAGGATTTCATCAAGATTTATAAAGATTTCTCAAGGATTTCGTCGAGATTTCTGAAGATTTCACAAAGATTTCATCAAGATTTATGAAGATTTCCCAAGGATTTCATCAAGATTTCTAAATGCTTGTCCAGAATTTCATCCAGATTTCTGAAGATTGCCTAAGGATTTCATCAAGATTTATAAAAATTCCTCAAGAATTTCGTCGAAATTTCTGAAGATTTGACAAAGATTTCCCAAGGATTGCATCAAGAATTCTAAAGATTTTCCAAAGATTGAATCGACATTTTGAACAGATTTCACCAGGATGTTATCAAAATTTCTAAAGATTGCATCAGGATGTCATCAAGAGTCTAAAGGATTTCAACTGTTTCAACTGGGATTATTCCTAGAATCTAACAATGTATATACTACGATCCTTCTTAAAATTGAACAATGCTTGTACTAAGATTGTTCCTAATATATAGAAGTTAGTTATACAAAATGGCAGAATTCACTTGATATATGCAAGTAGAGAGTTCCTTATATAGATCGATACCTGTAAAACAAAACGGTGAATGAAATCTGGAC